TTGCATGCAACCTCAGCGCAGCCTCCGCCCGTTAGGCGCGCAGGCACCTCCGGGCGAAGAGGGTGGAGGCCACCCCACTGACAGGCTAATCAAATGCCAATGTCTAATATGTGTGTGCAGGTAAGCAAAGGAAGGCACTCATGGACGGCGCTGGCGCTCCGGTTCGGCCTCCGCTCATATGGGCGGAGGCCCGAGCAGGAGCACGACTAAACCAGGCGTCGAAGGTCGGTGGCTTTCGGCGTCCCTGAGGCGGAGACCTCAGGTGGGAGCCCGAGGGTTCATCGCCGAACCCTGGGGCTAGACAGGGCGGAGAGCGATGGCGGAGGGCCAAAGACCCATCAACGAATCCTTAGGCCCACTGGGCCGGTTGGTCACGCAGGCCCAGTATCTGATGGTGGCATGGCAAGATTACCCCAAAGACGAAGAGCAAGTAGAGGAATATTCCCAGAATGTACTGTAGCAGTTGAAGGGCACTGTTGTAAACACCGCAAAGGCGGTAGTTGAGCCCTATAAATAGGGAACACTTGTAACAGTATGGTAGGTGGGTGAATGTATTAATGAAACCACAGCATTGTGTGTCACTCCCTTACACGCTCACTTGCCATGCCTACCCTTCCAAGCTCCCGCCCGATTACTGCTCTCATCGGGCGGAGGCCCCTACCACTTCCTCACCGTCTGAGACCGCAAGTCTCAACAGGTTCTGCCTTACTCTTACCAAAGCTTGAGTCTTTTTGTTGCCAACAACAAGGCATGAGCTTCCAATTAAGGATAACAGAGCCTCTCACTAGCCAAGATTATAAAATTTTGTTGGTTCTTCACTGTTGATCAGAGATCTAGTAGAAACATATGTATATGACTGGATGAGCACCACTTGGTATGAGAGGCATCCGGAAGTACTACCAACGTCCCCTAACCAGATCTGCATGGATGATATACTGATAACCTAGATGCACTATTCTCCGACCTGGTCCATGAGGATTGAGGAATGCTAAGATCCTCCAATGAGGACTGCATCTGCATATGCCAATGATATTGGATGTGCAATGTGGCCATCTACATCTAGTTTGTGGTTTCGTTGCATGCAATGTCTTGACCAGGGCTGATGGGTGCTGAACATTGGTCGGTGCTGACCAGCTATGTGGCTTTTGCTTCCGCCGCTGCAGACAAATCTATGGGGATTGACCAGTATGGTTAACTGCGTTTCCCAGCATTGTAGGCTTGATTAGTAATCATTGGCGTGCTTGGTTGCTTATGTTGCCAGTCAGCAAACAGCATCAGTCCTATCTTGCTCCCCTTTTATTTCGTACTCGCTTAATACAAAAAAAATGACTTAAAATATTGACCATAATGTGCCACAAAGAGTATCACTTAAGCTTCTTGACCAGTGAGAAAAGTTTTCAAACTCTTACAGCTACATATATTACTGCTTTGCTGTTGTTCTACCTTGTTCTTCCCAAAGGTTGCATTGAGTCTTTTTGTTTATAGGGCCAATGTTCCTTGCCTAGCAGAGCAAAATCATCAATAGAACGGTGGTGGGTGGCTGAGTGCTGACTTGCAATGTGGCTTTCACTCCAACCTGGCAGAGGACTGCAATGAACGCTCATGGTGCTAAACAAAAAGAAGGCTGATATGAGTCCTGGCTAGCTAGCTTCCCTCATTGTGCTTGAATTTTGTCTCGGTCACATGTTAATAAACAGACAATAGCACAGAAGGCTGGAAAAAAAATGCATGATGACGGTGGTACATACAGCTGCATTCCACTATAGCTAGTTACATCGTTTTGGTAGTTTTTATTCCAAGTTTTAAAATGGTAATAGCTCTACATTCATCTAAACAGAAAAATATCTTTGCTTTCCTTCAGTGGCATTTACTTCATCTATGGCTTGTTCTTCTAATCTAGAAATACATTTTCCAGTCCCCATGTCAATCAATCAGGACTAGTATCTACAAACAGACGCATGAGACATGATCAGGTACAATTTCTCTAGGGACGAGAGGAACTAGGAACAGCCAGCTTCACCGCACTGATGCTAAACCATAGGTGTGATCCATTCATGAATGATTTGCATTAAGGATTTCCTGAACATGGAATGGTGGACATTATCATGCATCCGCTAGCTGTGAAGCATTGGCGCCTTATGCTGAGGTCCTCGGGAGAAGAGCTGGCAGACAAGCACAGGCACGGTGGATGGTGGTATCGCCCCATTTGGTACACTGACAGATTTCAAGCATCTCTTCATCTGAACAACTCGGCATTGTTATCTACTTTCTATTGATGGTTTTCTCTATCTTTCTTTACTGCCACTACTACCAAAAGGGGCTCCATAGCTGGTTTCTAACCCCGCTTCAATCTCCAAATTTTATCAGAGCAAAGGATGCAGTTGTAAAAGTCACATACTAACACTACTGTTTATAAATATGTGGCTGGATGGCTTGGACATTTTCTTTCCGCTGATAACCCATGGACATCACCATATCTTTGAACTCTTACACTTAGGGATACAAAAGTCTAGTGCATATGCTTCAGTTCAGGAGTTGCCTGATCTAAGACTTTGATACTGATAGCTCAAATGACCCAACACACAATCACATGATCTATATGCTGCCTTGAGAAAGCTAGGGAAAATATCCAATTCACAGTTCAATCTCACACATAAATTAAGTTAAAAATGTAGTCCAGTGTACAAAATGTCAGCATGTAATAGTCTTCTTTGAATGCTTTCAACCTACATGCTGTTGATATCATGATGTCAATAGTCTTCTTTGAATTGCATGGGCCCTACGTTGCAGGCTTGGTTATTAATCATTGTCGTGCCTGCTTGCATTTCTAGTTAATCAATGCAACCTATATGCTGTTGATATCATGATGTCAATAATTCTGTCAGCTTGAAGTTTTTATTGGTTACACCCTCTGCATTAGAGATTGGCCAGCCTGACTAACGATTAATTCAAAAAGGATCACAAAATGCTGGTTGCCTCACGGGGATCAGACAAGCATAGATGGATTGATCAACAACAGGCGTATGATGGAGTTAGAATTGTGTTTCACTAGCTAATTACAACCATTTGGTTTGTTTTTTCTGTCAAAAATCGAAAATCCGAAGGGCAATCACATTTGTCTTACAAGAATAGTAGATTTACTTTTCATGGGTGCGGCACTTCATTTATGAATTTTGCTTCTCATAGTAAATGCAACCTGTAGGATATACATCTGTAGTTTTTTTTTTAGGGAACAGGAGGGATCAAGGACCCCTACTGAAAAATTTTATTGAACACAAGTTTAAACAGCTTGAATTTCATCTCGGTCACATGGGATGTTTGTAGTTATTGAGGGAAGGGTCTCGCAATATATGGCCGCTTCATGCTGACCAGAAAAGCTGAGAGCGCACAAAAACAGGTGAGATGGAGTTGGCTCAACTGCATTCCACTAGCTAATTACATCCCTCTGGCTTTTTTCCTCTGACTTAGAAAATGGGAAGATCTCAAAGTCCGGCTAAAGAGATTAGTCTCTTTCCTTTTCTTGCATGGCACGCACTTCTTCATTTATGACTTCTGATGCTCATCTACATATACAACTTCCATCAGTTGTGTCCCCATGTCAATCGGTCAGCAATAGTATGAAGAAAAAAAAGAATCATGGGCAGGATGAGCTACCATTGCATGTTGGGTATGAGAGGCACCTGGAACTGCTAGCTTTGCAATACACATTCCAAATGGACGATACATCTTGCTCTCTGATGTTGAAGGTTTGTCAGGTGTGTTTAGGGAGTCAAGGCGGTAGCCAAGTACTTTCTAACAGCGGAGACAAGCCCCTTCGCTGACATATAGGCAGTGGATAAGCTTGGGCTACGGCAATAGATAGAGTCTGCCTAGTAAGGTTGGCCTACAGTTTATCAGTCACTACCGGAAACAGAAGGTAAGCCGAGTGCAATATGATTTGCCGAGTGCAATTCATCGGACACTCGACAAACAAGCTCTTTGCCGAGTGCTAAAAAAACACTTAGCAAAATAATTGCACTTGGCAAACGAGGCAAAAAACACTCGGCAAAGTTTGACACTCGGCAAACTAGAAAAAAAAATACTCGGCAAAACTAGGCACTCAGTAAATAAATATGTTTGCCGAGTGTAATTGTCTGGCACTCGGCAAAAAAATATGTTTGCCGAGTGTAATTATTTGGCACTCGGCAAATAATTTCATTGTTTTCTCAAATGACCTTAAAACTTTTTCTACTCTCCACATACAACATATGGTATTCCATGTTAAAATTTGGTATATTTGTGGATCTGTATGCTATAATTAATTAATTTATTGCATTTCAAAGAATTTTTTGGTATATGTCAAATTTGAACCGCAAGTGATTCAAATAATAGAATAAAATGAATAGAAAAATGATATTCATGTTATTGAGTCCAGTGTGAGGCCTTATCCGGAAAATAAAAAGAAATTTCGAACATCCTGTTCAGGAAACATGACCACGAACGTGTGGCCGAATGGTTTTTAAATTCTAAAAAAAGCAAACGAAGTCTGAAAATCATGAGATTTGTCATGATGTGATGATATCATACATGGAGGCTGTGGTAAAAAATTGAGAAGGTTTCGCATAAAATAATGGAATCATATTCATAGAAAAATCATATATATATTGTTGAGTATATTTGACAAGGTATTTTCAAAGTACATCGAACAAAAAAAGAAAAACATGTTATGGAAAACAAGGAAATAAAAAAATAACTAATATATTTGCCGAGTGTCCAAAACCCTAGACACTCGGCAAAGATAAATTTGCCGAGTGCTGTGATCTGACACTCGGCAAAAATAACTAATATATCCGCCGCCGCCCCCTCCCCTCCCTTTCTCTCTCTCCCTTATCTCTTCCAGAGAACACGCAAACAGGGAAAGACGGCACTCCTCTCCTGCTTCTAGGCTGCTTTCCTTGCCCGCGCAACTGCTCATCAAGGCGTCTAAAATTTCCCCCAACTCTTCCCCTCGCACTAGTCCAATGGAATCCGACGCCGAGGAGGAGGCGGTGGCGACCTCGCCGGCGGCGGGGCCACCAGGCGCTGGGAGGCTAAAGGGGAGCCCGGAGCTGACTGTGGACGCGGACATGCGGGAGATGGCGAAGACGGCCGCGTGGAGCATCAGTTCCTGCAAGGCCGGCAACGGCGTCGCGGCCCTGCGTGATGACAACCTCGACACCTACTGGCAGTCAGTGGCGACCGCTCATCACCGATTTTTTTTGTTCCTTTGTTGAATTATTAGTTGAAGCTAGAAGGTCAGAGTTGGTGATTCGGGTTTTGCGATTTTGGTCTCAGGTCTGATGGGGCGCAGCCGCACCTGATGAGCATCCAGTTCCAGAAGAAGGTGCAGCTGCAGGTGCCTGCTTCAGTAGCGATGCTATATTCGCTTTGTCTTGTGATTCCGATGGTTTTGAGATCAATTGGTTCTGTGCTGCACGGCTGCTACCTGCTGCTGGACAATGGTGGCAGCGGCGGCCTGTCCGTGGACGATGGTGGCAGCAGGTGGCGTGGTGGCGGCGGCAACGGGGCGAGCCACGGGCGGGCGGCGGCGCGGACGAGGCGCGTGCGGGGTGGGAGGCTTTTTTTAATATTTGTTTTAAAAAAATTTGCCGAGTATCGGTTTTAGCACTCGGCAACGTCTTTGCCGAGTCTGTGTTTGCCGAGTGCAACACTCGGCAAAGGCTTTGCCGAGTGTTTTTTTGCCTTCGCCGTGTGCCATGGGCACACGGCAAACCTGGGCATTCCGGTAGTGAGTAATAATAGAAACGTCACCGGATAATTTGTAGCCTTACCATATGATTGTTGATAGTGGAGATGAAAAAAAAAGATCAGGAGACATATATACCCTGAAGATCATAGTGGGAAAATGTGGTTATGTCATGGTGTAACACGCTACTGCACTCACTGGACTTGAGTTAGTCCCAGTGGAGAGCATTTGGCTGGTCACAGACCATACCATGCTTAATGAATGTAAGAGTTCGAAAGAGATGTCCTCGTTGCATTGGATGCAAAAAACACGTGTCCAGAGAAGATCAGGCAAGGTATACATTGTGAAGATAAATATCTCCATCTTTCTAGCTACCTGGTGCATATAACCCAAAACACTTGTTTCGTGATCTTGTGGAGATGTCTGGGTTTTAGGCATCCGACGTCGCAACTTGCTCGAAACCTTCTCAAATTTTTATCATAGCCTCCACATGCGATCACACGACACTTCGACAAGTTTCGTGAATTTCGGACTTCGTTTGCATTTTCTATAATTTAAATACACTCCGACCACAAGCGGGTCGTCATGTTTGGCGAACAAGGCGTTCAAAATTTTGGGTGAGTTCCTGCATACGGCCACAAAATACACTCTACAACATGACTATCATTTTTTGAATGGCTACATTTCATTATTTCATGCACCTGCAGTTCAAATTTACTTTTTCGGAAAAAATGCAAGTAAACAAAATTAATTCAAGAAATATAGCAAAAAGTTATAAAAAGGTCCCAAATTTTAACATGTGCTTGTAAACAATAGATAAGGTCTACAAAAAATTTGAAATCAAAATTCAAAAAAAAAAAATACTTTGCCGAAAGTGCCATGCCACTCTAAGAAAGAGGGCCTTTGTCGAAAGTGCCAGGCAAAGACACTCAAGCAAAGGATATTTCAAAAAAATCCTTCGAATAAGGGCCTGACGGCCCATCCTCCTCCAACCCTATCCTCATTCACGCCGCCCACCCTCACCAGCACCCGCTTGCCACACCCGCCGCCTCCCGCCGCCCTTGCTACCACGCAGCGCCACGCCCACCCTGCCCCCCACGCCCCCTCCCACGCCGCCGACCCACGCCGCCTGGCCGCCGCCGCCCCCACGCCGCCGCCGCCCCACGCCGCCGCCCGGTCGGCCCGGCCCGGCGCCCGCCCCCGCCCGCCCGGCCCCGATCCCACGCGCCTGGCGACGCCTGCCCCACACCGCCTTGGCGGCGCCCCGCCTGCCCTGCCCGCCATCCCTGCAGAGAGGAGGAGGAGGAGCCATGGCCCTGCCCCGCCCGCCGCCCCTCGCAAAGAGGAGGAGGAGGAGGGAGAAAGAGAAGGGAGGAGGAGAAGGGAGGTGGGAGGAGAAGGAGAAGGGAGAAGGAAGAAGGAGAAGGGAGGAGAAGGAGAAGGGAGGAGGAAGAAGGAGAAGGGAGGAGGAGGAGGAAGAAGAAGAAGGAGAAGGGAGGAAGGAGGAAGAAGAAGGAGAAGGGAGGAGGAGGAGACGGACCTCGGTCCGACGACCGTTCACACCGTTCGTCGACGACGTTCGTCCACTCCGTCGTCCCCACACATCGCCATTTGTCCACGCCGTCGTCCCCGTCCCTCGCCGGAGAAAAGGTAAAGGCTCCGGGGGTGTCGGCCTTGGTGCCGTTTATGTGTTGACGGCCTTCGTGCTGGGTTTGTGTATGTGTGGGCCATCATGCCCCAAATGTGGATGTCGGCCATCGTGCTGGCTTTTTCTTGCAGGTTTTGGTAACCTCCCCGTACAGGGGAGGTTCTGCCGAATTTTTCAAGTAATAGTGATGTGTTTCTTCTTTTGCAGAGCAGGAGCTGTCAGAGAGGACCCGGAGCACCTCGGCGATCCCGATCGTCTTCGTCGGCGCTGCGGTCGTGCCTGCACTACTTCGTCTCGCCACTGCATCGACTCGCCACTGCGCTGCTAGCCTTTCTCCACCTCCACCCTAGGTATAATTGACCTCTCTTGCTTACAGTTGTCGTACGTAACCCAGTTAGGCGTCTCCCGTCCGAAACAGATACGGTTGGAGGTATGCGGATCTTTGCATATCTATGACCGTATCTGTTTCGGATTGTCCACGTTTTTTGGACAGCCCGTGGATGCGTAGATGGGTTAGTTTCCATGTTCTGCTCGGATCCGAGACGGAGTTTCAGCACCACCTCCCTGTTGTTCTCCGGATACACACTCTCCCTTCCAGGATGTGTATCGGGAGAACAGTGGGGAGGTGTTGCCGAAATTCTATCTCGGATCAGAGTAGAGCATGGAAACTAACCTCATCTACGCATCCGCGGGTGGGATTAGGACCTATCCTCACCTATTAGACAGCAGGCACGCCGTGCAGATGCAACTGATGGTTATATTACTCCGTTATGTGTATATGATATTGCTCCGTTATGTGTATGAGTGGATGTACATGGGACACCCAAGTCAGGCTCAAATCACCTGTGAATGGATGGATAAGACCGAGAAATTCTTGGACCATGCATTTAAGGAAGCTAAGGGAGCGAGAGACATGTTCTGTCCCTGCAGCGATTGTGAAAACAAGAAAAGAAAAACAAGGGAAGTCATGATGAAGCATCTTTGCAAGTTTGGATTTATGCCAAACTATACCCGGTGGGTGTACCATGGTGAAGCCTATCGTCCTAGAGAGGAGGTCGTGAGACGACGCTTGGAGGCATTTGATGGTGATGGCGGGGTAGAAGGATGGTTAGGTGACTATGAGGATGCGATGTTCGCTAAAAGACCTCCGGAGGTCGAGCAGGAGGATGAGGAGGAGGAGCCAGAGCTAAGCGCTAAGGCGTTCTTGGCCATGTTGGAATCGGCACAGAAGTTCCTACATGAGAAGACAACGGTTTCTCAACTGGATACCATTGGGCGCATACTGGGGTTGAAGTCCCAGCAAAACATGACTCGAGCCTGCTTCGATGCTATGATGGCAATTATTGGGGATTTGCTTCCATAGGGTCATCATCTGCCGACCAGCTTGTACGAGTCAACGAGACTCCTTCGGGCACTGAAGATGCCGTATGAGCAGATACATTGTTGTCCGAAGGGGTGCGTCCTATTTAGGAAAGATCACAAGGATGCAAAGTACTGTCCAAAGTGTAAATCCTCTAGGTATGTGGAGGTAGACAAAGGTGATGGCAAGAAGGAGCAGAATGAGGGGATCCCCATGAAAGTCCTACGATACCTTCCGATCATACCGAGGCTCCAACGGCTATTCATGTCCGATGAGTTCACGAAACATATAACATGGCACAAGAATGGCGTTTGATACAATCCTAACAAGATGGTACATCCAACAGATGGTGAAGCATGGAAAAGCTTTAATGGCAACCATCATGGCAAAGATGAAGAGGCCCGTAATGTACGTATTGCACTGGCAACGGATGGGTTCAGTCCTTATGGAATGATGTCGGCCCCATACACTTGTTGGCCCGTGTTTGCTATCCCCCTCAATCTCCCCCGGGGCCCTACTTCAATGGCAAAACATATTCTTGACGTTGATAATTCCTGGACACCCGGGAAACAAAATGGGTGTGTACATGGAGCCGGTTTATGATGAATTGATCAAGGTTTGGAATGAAGGCGTATGGACTTACGACCGAGCTACAAAGAAGAACTTCAAAATGTATGTTTGGTACTTGTACTCCATGCATGACTTCCTGGCGTATGGGATATTCGCCGGCTGGTGTGTCCATGGGAAGTTTCCATGCCTGGTATGCAAGGTAGCTCTACAGTTCATTTGGTTGAAGAAGGGTGGCAAGTTCTCATCGTTCGACAAGCATCGGCGGTTCCTCCCTCTTGACCATCCATTTAGAGAAGACACCAAGAACTTCACGAAAGGTGTCACGGTGACTGACCCTGCACCTCAGAAGATGACTGGTGGCCAGGTTCATGCTCAGATAGATGCTCTCGTGGTCCCGACGTAGAAAGATAATCCAAAGAAGGGTAAAAGAAAGAATGTTAATCCAAACAAAGATCGCTTTGTGGGCTATGGTGTGGAACATATGTGGACTCATAAGTCGGGATTGGAGAGGCTTCCCTATTTTGATGACCTTCTCCTTCCACATAACATAGATGTAATGCACACTGAGAAGAATGTCGCCGAAGCACTTTGGGCAACACTCATGGACATTCCTGACAAGACAAAGGACAACCCTAAGGCTAGAGTAGACATGGCAACACTATGCGACAGACCAAAGCTACAGATGCTGCCTCCAAGAGACGACAAACCATGGAAAAGGCCTAAGGCCGATTACGTCTTCGAAAAGAAGCATAGGACGGAAGTGATACAATGGATGCAGACGTTAAGTTTCCCTGATGGGTTTGCAGTGAATCTGAGGAGGGGGCAAGGTCAGTCCACGGGCCCGACTACGATCCGAGGACTGAGGAGCGCCTTGATCCTGAGCTTGTGATGAGGGTGGGGGAAGGCAAGAAGCATGGGCGTTTTTGGATTGGCGACGGCATCCTCGACA